TCCCTCTGCTTGTCCTGAGCAGCCAGCACAGCATTAGGGTACAGCTCCTTCCTTCACACGTTATCCCTGCCTTTTTCAGCACTCTCCACAGCCAAAAGAGAGCACAAGAAGCCTGGTGAGCACCATGCCCAAGAAAAAGGGCAGCTCACATTGCTGCTGGAGACCTTCACGTCCTCRGGCGCTCTCAAGCAGGAGCCCTCACAACCCCCTCGTGGGGCTGCAGGGTTGTTTGCAACCAAGGCAAGTCCTACAACACTTACCCAAGCGGTCCATATTACACCTCCRCCTGGGAAAGTGTCATGTATACTGTCTCAGCCTTGTTGAAAACGTTGTTTCAAGCAGAACAAAGACCAGTTCTGCTGTAAAATATATCTATTAATAATCTTGCCCTGTCTCCACACTTCACCTCCAAGATTTTGACACATCTAATTAAACTTGGATGAACTCGTCCTCCTGGCCTGCTCTGCCATCTGCCAGCCCCTCTGCTGTGCCAGGCTCTCTGCTCGGCCACAGCTCCTTCCCGATGGCAACGCCATTCAGTCAAGAGGAGATGCTGGACAAATCCCTGCCGTTGCCACCAACTAAGCTGAGTTGTCTGGGATTTGGGGAATGATTCACGGCTGCCCTGCAGAGCTTCCTGCTCTGCGGAAAGGAAGCCGAGCGTCAGAAAGGAGTGACAGAAGGTGACACACACACACACACACACACACACGCACACCACTCCACCCGAACAGCCTATTTGATGTTTTGCCACCAGCCAATTTAATTTGTTATGGAAATACACACTGTGTTTTTTCCCCCTCCCAGGATTAATCATATTCTTCTGTGGAGTCATAGTCCACAGGCCCCGAAGGAGGGGCATGCAGATGGGTACTAACATGATGTTTTTATGGCCCGAGAGGCTTCTCTCTATTCACAGAGGTCAAGTACATATCATTAGCTGTGTGCTGTACCATCTTCTATGTATCTGAAGTGTACAACACATTTGTGAAAATATTAACATCCAACCTGAGGATTATTAGGTCTGAGCTGGTCACTCCGGGTCCCTTTCACTTTGCATTCTGCAAGACACCTAGACCAGGTTGCATGGACCGTCCTTCCGACACGCCGCCTTCCCGGATCACATCCGTGCGTGTGCCGGGGCCGTGCCCRGCACTCCGAGCGCCCCGCGCTGCCGCAGAGCCCCGGCCACTGGGCACGACCGTCCCCAGCCATCTCAGCAGCGTTTGGGAGCGCTCAGTGCCCTGCCAAAACCCGGCTTCAGGATCTACGTGCCACCTCCTGCAGCAAAATAAGGGCTTGTCTAAACTCCCGTGGATCCGCAGGTAGAGCTGCAGAGGTAAAGCTCTTCTGTAAACAGAGGTGAAGCTGATGCACTTAAATTGCTTCCCCGAATGAAGTAAAGGATCCCAGCAAAAAAGGGACATTTTCATTGACATAACCAAGCGTGCACAAATGCTTGCACGTGTAAAGCCATAAAGCACGGGGTTCTCTGTCACACCTAGCCCAGTGACACTCCTAAAGTCAGAGCAAATCTGCATTAACCAACAACCAGCACTGCCCATTGCAAGAGGAGGAAAGAAGCAACTGCAACAGGAGAAAAGGGGGTGCAAAGTCAACCAGTCTCTTCTCTAATGGTTTATCTACATACAGATAACCAGGAAAGTTGATCTGAATTAAATGGATATCTAAATTACATATTATTGGATTGGTTTATCCACATTGCTAAAATGAATGAATTTCACTGCGTTAAACCCCTATATGAACGCACATATTCAGAACTAAAATGGCCTTAATACAATTTAGCTTACTTTGCTTCCAAAGTACATGAAGACAAGGCAAATGAAAGACACTTACTTTTTTTGAATAACAGTATTTACATAGGCATTCAATGCAGTTCAGCTCAGCATTTTAAACCCTATATTTCATCACTTTAAAGAGATTTTTTTCCCCTGAGTGTTCCTATGTAAACAAGCCTTCAAATCATCATGTTTTTGTATCTCCTGTCACACTCAAGGTTTCCATCCTCGACCTCCAGTCAGTTTTACTCTTATATACACTTTTTTTTCCCCTTTTCCTGTATTCTTTGGGGGTAGTGTAACCAGCATGAAAAAAAAATCAAAAAGAAGAGTCTTGCACCAGTAAAGAACACCCCTGTAATTCCCTTTTTGTGCTTGCACATCTTATTTAACCCAGAAATCAGGCAGGATATGGTTACCCTGGGTGAGTGCAGCACACAGTGATTGAGGTGGTCAACAGCCCCTTCGTGCCCTTTACTTGAAATGATTCAGTTTTGCTGCAATCTAGTGCAAATAGCAAGAACTGGTTTTCCCAAGGAAGGAGCCTCTCACCTAAGTCGACTTCTGTCCAAACCAATGCAGCTTAAAAGCTGTTATTCTCACCAAAAAGAGTCACTCGTCACACGAGATGCAAGGGTCATTTTGAATGTCAACTTGGATGAACTGTGAGCGCCTGCCCCCAAACCAGTGGCACCTCCACCAGTCGTATGAGCAGAGCTGGCACCAACATGAGGGTTACTGGGTCTACTGAAGAGAGTCATTTCAGGAGGTCATCCTCTTTAAAGCTTTAATTGATTGGAACAGCCCTGGATAAACTGGGTAACTGGGATACAGTGAAGGTGAACAGAGGCCTCAGGGTGACTGGGGCCAGGGCTGGCGAGGAGCAACCGCAGCCAGAGGGACAGAAAGGGTGATGGGTTGTCACTCCTTCCATTCCTGGCATTTCCATTCACCGGCAGCAGCGAGGAGAAGGGGCTATGAACACACAGGCCACTGCATTGCCCACGGGGCTATTGCTTACGGGGGCCCCGCTTTGCCCTGTGCAAAGGGACCCCCATAACCACCATGTCCAGGCCATGAGGGAGCTCAAGTACTCGCTCTGCTGCACCTGCTCAGCCTAGGCATGGGGCTCTGCTGCACGTGGAAGGAGCTCTAAATCAGATTTCCTTCCACAGGCCGCTTCAGCAAATGTACATTTCAACTTTTTTTTTGCACCTGAGAACAGACCCTCTCAGCACATTTTAAACTCACCACTTGGTAGAAAAGCATTCCTTGTTTTTTAGGATCTTTAAAGGGAACTAGGAAATAAATCAGAATTGAGCTGGGACTAACTGGGGTAAGGTTGCTTATTTCTGCAGATTACCCCTCTCTGCTTTTCTAATTCACTCACCATGTCTTATCTTTCTATTAATCTTTAATAAATCTTTTAGTTAATTCCCCAAACACATACAATATACATGACAGCAGGATACAGTGTGAAAGCAGCCCACGGATATGAAGAAACAGGCAGCAGAGGAATCAAAAGGAGGGGAAACATTTAGGATTAAGAAACTGCCCAAGTGCATGTCAGGGAAAAGCAATGAGCGGGCAGGAGCYGGCAGCAGTAAGGGACAAACCAGGGAGGAGGCAGGGGCTGGAGGGCATCAGTTTCCCCGGCTGTTGGACACATCTTTTCAACGGGGTCCTTCTCCCTTTCCACTCTGGTTCCACTTGGACCAAAACAGGCAATCTGATTTCAAACTTGAAGCCTCTGAAACRTGGGAAACCCTCTCTAGGCTGATAACAAGGATACGGCCAGATTAAAAAGTAAATCCAATTTAACCCACCCCAGCAGAAATGGTAATTGAATTATACTGCCTTCAAATACGCTAAGTTTGGGGCTGGGGCCCCCGCGGGAGGAGAAGGTGTCTTGCAAACACAAATAAACACAAAGAAATCTGCTACAGGGAATGGCTGAATCGATGAATGAATTGTGACTCCTGCCCRCCCTGCCTCCCACAGGTTGCTTGATAAGCTGCTGATTGCCTCTAAAACAGCTACCACCAATGTTAGGAACTGATTAAGCAGCTTACAGAGCACTGGGGGCTAACAGACAGGCCCACCAGGGAGACTGCAGCTCCGGACTTAAGTAGCTTGCTATTTCATGGCTTGATTATTAAAGATGAGATAGTAGAACATGCTGAAAAGCTGTGGAAACAGTTTTAGACCTCAGAAAGCTGGACTTTTCATTTCTTACATATCTGGAATAATTTCCAGCTTGTGGTTTTACCAGCCAACAAAGGACACATTGCTTCCTGTGGTTCTGCAGCTCCAGCTCTGAGATGCATTTGAACAACCTCAACTTCACGTGTCGCCTGAACACGCAGCACTGACTCTGCAAGTCCTCCCCCAGCAGAAAAGGCAAGGTCAAGCACAGGAAACCTCTGCGAAAGCTGCTTAAACTAATGTATTTTACGTATTACTGCCAATGGCATAAGCCTGTGTGCACAGATGTGCACAGATCAGCTAAGCCCATCTTACCTTATTACTTCCTCAGCTGCACCTGAGTGCTGCAGCACATCCTGCACCGATTCCCTCCCCTCCCCTTTGCAGTTCATTTGGCCAAATTCTCCTCGTTTAACCTGGTACATGAYCAAATTCTGCTGTGCAGGCAGGTGCACTGCAAGCTGCTTGCTTAGCCCCACCAACATCAACCATCAGTGCAGAGATGCACACACCTCGTGCTGTGGTTACGAGTGTCCTGGTGGCACCGCAGGGCTCTGCGTGGGCCTGCTGAAGCTTTTCTGTTTTGGTAGCGTTGTGAAGTCTAGCAGAGCTACTGCGCACTCAACAGACTCCCAAAAAACTGTTCTTTCAGTAAGTATTACCTTTCACTTGTGGGCTGAGCCCTAGATGAGTCCCCTTTCATCCCACTGCTTTCATCCAGCTGAAAATCTTCACACTGCAAAGCTGTCTTTGCAGCCCACACCTCTGTTTCATAACCTCTTTCAAGCCCCATTTCAACTGCAGCTCTAGACTTGCTCTTTCCCAATCCTAACCAGCGCTGCTGTTAACCCATTTTTGTACCAAGCTTTAATCCAGAAATGGTTTGGATGCAGAGCTGCCTACGCTCTGGTTAGCAAGAAGGGAGCACATACAATTAGCATCGAAGATGAGAACTTGCTTGGTGGGTTACATGTAGAATCAGCAGAATAAACTTACCTGCTGGAGGTCTGCAAGAGAGTAAAGATGGATTTGCTGAAGAAGGTACTCTCTGGGAAAGATCCTGAAAAAAAGAAAAATGGATATGTTGGCAACATACTTCAATAGGGTGGCTTCTTCTCAGTGCCTCTGTCTGCCCCAAAGACTGCAACAATGACTCTTTCGGGAAGGGGAGGAAAAAAGAGATTCCTGGTCTGCTAGAAAACTTTACAGGTCAGTTTGAAATGTGATTTTTTTAACTGAAATAATTATACAGGGAAAAATGTCAGTGCAGATGCTCTTCTTCCAACATACAGTTGATCTATATTGGTAGAGTTATTCCCTTTTGCATACAGAAATATCTGTGCTAGTATAGACTTTGAACTGGCTTATTTGAGAAAGGCATATTTTCCTTAAGTGGAACAAGATTTAAAGTGAGATCACTGATTATGCCCTGACAGTCCTGTGCAATAAAGCTAAATTACACAAATTTGAACAGAAAGTAGAGAAAGGAAATGTGCTAATTAGGATCACGTGCAGCAAAATGGACAAGCGGGATAAAGCAAGGCCACGGTGAAAAGCAGATTTTGTAGGAAGGTGGATATTAGCAGGGAAAGTTTCTGAAAGTTTATGTGCCATGAAAATGCYAGCAAGGGGTGGACCTAGCAGGCACAGCGACACAACCGCATCACTCTTGCAATAAAAGCTACCAGGCACAGCAAGAAGAGCGACGATTTTACAACAACGGGGCAAAAGCCGTGGGCTCATTTCCCCCTTGGCAGTCAAGGCGGGTGACGTTGGTCACGCCGTGCCCTCCTCACCATGCTCGGCATGCTCTCAGAGACAGCTGGAAAACATCTCTGGATGTTTCCACGGCTGGAAAACGGTGGAAATCCAGCTCTCGGGCAGCCCCCGATTCCTCGCTCATGCACAGACTACTAGAACTGACTGCTAAAGGCTCCCGCCAGCATTTGGGAGCCGCTGGTATTTTGGGTCCCAATTGGGTCCTTTTCGTTACAATCTCACCCTGTTCGGCCAGGCCAGGCGCTAGACAGTGCGGTGGCGCTGCCAGGAGCTGCACGATTTGCTGACGCCCTCACCGTGCTCCTGAGGAAATAATTAGCTAATGAGAGATTTCCTTTCTGAGACTGCAGAAAGTCCTGAGCCTGCACAGCCCGCGAGGCAGGAGCTGCCAGTGAGTAACCGGGCTGACTAACCCCTCCTTCCCTGCCTTCCAGGACCGCGTTCCTCGTCCTGCAGGAGCTGCTCCTCCTCACGGAAGCGCGTTGTGGGGCAGAGCCGTGGTGGGCCCCGCTCTGCCCCACTCCTGGCCACTGGGACAGCCCCTGTCCCCCAGTGGTGCCCGTCCCCACGGCACATGCCAGGCTGCCGACTTTCTGGAAGTTGGCGCTGCCTTCCTGGGTGCCAGGAGGACACACCTGGAGCTGCAGGAGTGGCACCGAGTCCCGGGAGCACTGACGTCCACTGCTGTGGAGACCAGGCAGTGAAACCCCTCGGTGCGCAGGGCTGCTGCAGCCTCCTTGTGGGCCTGAAGCTTTTCTAAGAGCAGCAGTTTGAGCTGCTGTGGGGTTCCCGGTGCTCAGAGCCCCTCCTGCAACGCAGCAGACACGTTTAACAAACTCCTCTGTATAAAACGCAAACAAGTCACTCGGAGCAGGAAATGACAGSAGCAAAGCAGTTCAGCAAGCTCGAGATTAATGACACCTGGTTGCCAGTGGCTTGCTTGTCTGCACAGGTTCACTCAGCCTAATGAGTGATGGTTTAATAAAGCCCTGCTCAAAGGGGCTGGGCAGGACTTCTCAGTGGCTCTGGCTTCTGCTCAGGCTCCTCACGTAGCAGGTAAGAACTTCATGTCTTTGCCACCTCCATCCAGACCGCTCTGCGGGTGTGTGCAGCCCTTGCCAACACCAGGGCATTACACCAGGGACCAGCCAAGATGCTACACAGGGTCCAAAGTGATTTCTAAAATCTCACTTTGGTCCAAAACCCTGGTCTGAAGAGACAAAACCATGCGCTTGCATTTGGTGCTTAGGTTTTCCTTAACATAAAGGCCATCCYGAATCTCCAAATGGCAAATCTTTATAGGGAACTTGAAGGGTGCTTATAAGAAACTGTTGGCCAATTAAAAGCACTCAATAGGCGCTCACACCCTTAAGACAGATTTTAAAACACAGGAAGGACCTCTCGGAGTTAGAGGTCAAATGAAAACAAAACCTTGAGCCGTGCTGCATCAGAGCGGGACCTGCAGCCTAGGGAGGTGAATGGCACCCGGTGTCTGTCCCCCCGGGATGTGCCTCGAGCAGCCTGGGACCCCCAGGCCGGGCTCCTCCTGGGGACAGCATTCCCAGCTGGAAGTGCTGCTGCCGCTCGGGCCCCGTTCACAGGGAGTTCAGCACCAGCCAGGCCCTCGGYGGGTCCTCTGAGCAACGACATCCCCAGCCCTGGGCGTCAGAGATCTCGGAATTGCTTCCTTGCAGTGTGCTAGAAATGCCAGGAAGGTGAGCAGGACCCCCCCGGTCCCACAGGGGCTTTGGGGTCCAGCTAAAAGGCAGAAGTCACAATTTGTGACTGTTAACGCATTGTTGGGTACTGTGTAATCCGAAGTACAACCTTCAGGCAAGACAGAACCAGAAACCTCCCTCGTTTCTTTTCAGCAGATTTTATCGGGCAAGTATCTACCCAAACAAAGGTTATCTGTTAGTGTCCTCCTGCAAACAGAGTCACCGATAAGGCTTGGCTTTGCACATTTGGACAAAGCATGTAGCCATGGTGCTCTGTTAACACTAAGTAATTGCTCTGCGTTTAAAGCCTGTTTATCATCAGCTTAGGTAATTTTTCTCCAGTGGGTTAAATACCCTGACAGCTCTGCTCTAGCTACAAGCAATTAATCTGCCCGCGCCTGACACTATAACCAAAGTACAAACGTGATAAGCAGAGCAAACGCCGCTCCTGCCGCGGCCGCCGGCAGAAACCAAGTTGGCTGGTGGGTGGGCACAAATGTCCCTCTTTTTGTGGAAAAAGTGTTGAAAACTGCTAAGACCTGAGAAAAAAAAAAAAGTAGTTGGCACCGTGATTTCATGTGCCAGCCGGGAGGGTGGCCCCGCTTGGCCAGGTTGATAAGTGCATGAGTGGGCCTGACTCACTCACCCACACCCCTTGGCACTGGTGCCACCAGGCCGAGCGGGTTCTTGGCCCGGGTAAGAAGTAAAAAGAAGCCATTTGTTTACTTATTTTTTTTGTGATATCTACACCAGGTTAAAGTTTTTTATTATTATTTTAATTCTAAAGGTTTGGCTAAAAAGGCAGCTGTGAACCACTTCACATTCATGAGGTACCAATGCTCGTTTTGTTGGTTATGTTCAGGGAGCAGCTGTTTCCTAAATATCTTCAGCCCATATTGATGGCCTTTAATACTGGCTTTAATACTATGTCTAAATCAGATGTTGTTCAATGCTGTGAATGAGATTTCACGTGAGCATTCCTAAAAACAGTTATTCTTATCAATCATCAGCAATCCTAAACGGGAATATAAACCCTCTGCTAAAATGCAGCACGCTAAACTCTCCTCTGTAGTTTCCTGAGCAAGATTACAGCAGCGCCGTGAAAGGCAAGAATTACTGCAGATAAAAAACAGAAATTAAGCATCACCCACATTAAAAGCAGGATGCAGAGAATTAGAGGCACAGGGCTTCATTTTGAAATCAAAATAGCTTAGATCCCCCAATTAATTGGAAGTGAAATGAGGAACACGCAAAGGCTCTCTCTCCTTGCCAGGTGCCCTTCTGCATCTGCTGCAAGTGCTGAGGGAAAACACAGGTAATATTTAAGGTAGTAGCAACCTAGTCTATGAAGAAGGAGGAAAACTACCATTTTTAAAGACATCTAATATTACTGATGCATTTGGCAAAGAGGTGCAGGTGCGTCCCTGGATGGGAAAACGTCAATGAGAACCAAGAGACCGGCCTATCCACTGTGCTCTGGCTGTTAGCCCTCGTTGAAATGAGAGCACAAGGTCTATCTACCTTCCATCCTGAGCCTCCTTCAGCTTTAGGGAAAACTTCCTAAGATCTTCCCTTTGCAGTCTACTGCTTTCCCGCGCTGCATCTTTGTTCTCCTGCTTTGGGATTTTCCACTCCCCGAAGGGTCTCCCTGCTGCAAGGAAAATGGAGAAAACGGGTCTCCTTTGAGGGCTGCGCCATGGCTTAATGACCTTCTGTCCTCCTAGGTCTGCAGGATGATCTGACACAGCCCCAGCTTCACGTACGTGAGGCATTTGGTAGTACAGCGATGTTATAACATCAATGAGGACTCCTGGGACGTGTTTGGACAGGCCCCCCGATGGCCACACAAATACTTTGAAAGTAACCTAGCCCTGTGTCAGAGTGATATTTTTAAGGCCTCGGCGTAGGAAGTGACAGGATCCCAGTGCTCAGCCTCGCTGAACTGGGGCTCCTTCTGCACCGTGCTGACAGAGCGGTCGGCTCCGCCAGGTCCKTGTGTCTGCAGCGCTGCGAGTGCCTTCAACCTGGTGCTGCAGCAAACTGCTCCAACAGCTCTAAGTAACGTGGCCTGCACTGGAGTTTTGTGAAGTAAACCTGCAACGTAAATATCAGTTCTGGAGCTGATCGACAAGTGGCATCATACGGAGGAGATGAGAGATGAGGTGGGACTCTGGTAGTGTCCCTTCAYGAGGCTGGAAGCATCACCTGGCTGTCTTTGCTGATAGGCACTGATGGAGGGTTTGATTCCAGCTCTGAGCTCCTTTCCTGCAAATGCATCAAGAGTTTAGAACCCATTTGTGCAAATAAATCATTATTAGTCACGCAATCCAGCTTTACTTTTTGCCTCCTCGCTCCTTTTTTAAGACTTCTCACTTTTCTGCCTTCCTTGCCATACGATCACCTGCCTCTCAGAGTTCACACTGTGCTTCAGAGCCCTGAGCACTCTGCTAGATGCCTCTGCTAGATGCCAAGTTTTACAAAGTTCCCCAAGTACCTATCTAGGCATTACAAATAACATTTCCACATTTAAACCTACTGGATCCTGAGCTAACCTGGTTTATAGCCATCTGGAATTCTTCAAAAAAGCAACTTGTAAGCACTGTAAATAGTTTTGTCTTCCCAGMGGAACACCAAGAGTTTCCAGATTCACTGCCATCTTCATTTTGAGATCTGGGTTCAAGAGCAAGGTATAGATTTAAAGAATATGATAATACAAATAATATTAATAAAAGAAGCCTCCAAGTGATCTCCTTTTCCCTAATAAGGCAGGCTCTATCAGTGTCCCTAAGGCAGCAAGGTGCCAATACAATTAATCAGTCTGTTTTTAGTTCTCCTTAGACAGCAATATTAACAGTTTGTTTCAGTCTGTTTATATGGGCCTGACAGGCCTTCAAGATGCTGTGTTCACTTGCTTGTGATTAATAGTCATGCACMTAGGAAGGTGAAGACCAAGCAGAAAAAAAATGTTTTTAGAGCGGGACAGATAACTGGATTCTCTCCCCCGACTTCCATTTCTAACTAGGAAACAGCACTAAATTTAGCAGTGCTGCCTAACAGCATTGGTTTCACTGCCCCTTTTCTTGTAGGCTGCCCACRTAAAGAGTCGAAGGGAAATTTAATCCCCTATTTTCTTTATTTGTCACTTGTGCTGTGTAAAGCCACCCAGAGTGAGGGTCTGTGTGCTCTGATGCTACGTCAGAAAGCAAACCCCCTGGAACCAGTTTAGAACAAGGAATAGCTGCTTCCAGGAAAGGAAGTTTTCTTCCTTTACATCCCTGCAAACCCCTTAGGGGAGACCTCAGGAACCAATGTAGCACAACCCAACCTGACAGAGGCTTCACAATCCAAGAAGCATCTGGCTCCTAAAGTTTATTGGGAACATTCCTTCTTTGGCTTTTAAAGGACTTTTCCAAGTCCTTCGAGACTGGAGCTGCTTCCTCAGAGGCAAAGCGCCAGCCAGGTATCCTCATCCTTCTCGGCCTGGGTCCGTCTCGCCGCCCTAGGCAGAGCTCAGCTGCAGGACCATAAGGAGGCCAAGTTTAGCTCAAGGTTCTCCTGAGACAAAGGACCCCCCAGTAACGGAGCCATTCACAGTTCCCACTTTAACCTGAGGATCCAGACTCAAGAAAGGGAGCATCTCCCCCCCAGCCTGGGCTCCAGCGGTGCCCAGCCAGTACAACAGAAAGCACCATCACGCAAGCCAGAGCCCTGAAAGCAGTTGTGACGTATCTGCCTGCAGTGCTTCCTCCTCTTCTCTCTTTATGCTAACCACAGTTGGTGTCAAATGCTTCACCTCATATTTTAATAACTTATTTTTCTCTTTTTTCCCCTAAAATACTGCATACACATTTGTGCTATTTTTTGTTCCTTCTCTCTTCAGCATTGATCATCTTTCCCTTTTGGAGGCAGGTTTTGGGGTTCCCTCAGTAACATTTCCTTTCCCTGGGAGCCCCCCTCACTATCTCCCTCAGCTCTGGTCCTTCCATCTCCTCCATTCTCCTGGTTTTCCCTGTCACTAGTGCATTGAGTTCCGTGCTTAGGCCTCCTTCAATGTCTTTTTTGCTCTCCTATCCACCTCCTCTCAGTTTCAAGGATATTCTTTTCTTCAGCATTAGTCAGAGGACATATTTTCTTTCCTACCACACTCTCTGAACAGCAGCCTTCCCAGTCTTGTTCTCCTTTCTGTATTTGCCACTGAAGAGGGCAGTATGGAAAAGTTATCAGACCTGAGTAGCAAGACATCCTACAAGACAATACCAGSTCCTGGGATGACAGAAAAAAAAATCCTGATTTTTAAAATGCTGCAAGCTGTCCTGCCAATCATAGGAACTGAGCATTACGACACAAGCACGTATTGCTGTGCTGTGGATTTAAGAGCTCAGTAATGCTCCCCAGAAACTTGCTGCCATATCCTTCATATAGGAGGTAGCTATTCAAAGGAATGACCTAAGTTACCTGCTGACCAGCAGACTTTGTCATCACTCCTCTTCCTGTGGAGGAAACACTGGTGCATTCTGCTCCCCTCCACACAATTCAGGTCTGCTGTCCTTAAAACTTGGTGCTCGAAACACAGCCACTAAGGTCATCCGCTTTCTTATCATTTGGGAGCTTGAATATTCCAGGGCTGCTTCTTCCCTCTTTGCACACTTGCCTTGCTTGCAAACCTGGACACAAATCCTTTCATTGTGTCAGACAGGTTTCTCAGGTCACCTGCGTGTGCCTGTAGCCTCTCACCCCACAGCCCGTTTTCCATCTTTTCATGAGATTCAGAACAAAAGACACTTTTATCTTTCATTATTATTACTTATTTTTTTAAAGCCACAACAGTGGCTTGACGGTTGCAAGAAGGTTGGTCTTTCCTGCCTGCTTGAGCAGGAAGGTTGGACTAGATGATCTGTAGAGGTCCCTTCCAACCTTAAATATTCTGAAATATTCTGAAATATTCTTTGTAGCTTGCTAGGAAAACGCAGCAGCAGCTGAACAGCCTGAGTTACAGCACTTCCAAAATGGATTTCGCCTTTTATAAACCCATGATTTCCCCCAAGAAAAACTCAATATGAAGGGAATGACAAACAAAATGCCTTCTGCTGTGCTACGACCATTTATTTTCCAATAGAGAAACACTCAGCACAGCCCTGCCCTGGGCAGAGAAGGTGGGTGCTGAGCAGCAGCGTGGCTGCTCTGGGGCCACCTACCTCCCGAGTTATCTCGTGCCAGGGCAGAAGGCCAGAGGAGGCACCAGGCTGGCCTCTCCCACATTGTCCACGTGCTRACTCAGAGCTCCTGAATGTGGTTACCCACCTCGAGCACCTGGGAGCCCTGTGACAGAGAGGTGTCAGCCCTGGCCAAACACCCTCACACAGGGTGAGGAAGCCTGAGGAGCTCCGGGGGCTCCCACATAACGTGTGGCCCCTGCGCTCACAGTTCTCGAGAACAACTTCTGGCACTCAGGCCCCATACAACCACCTGGAACCATTTTCCTTCAGCATTAGGTACTTGGCTGCCCAAGAAATCAGGTAGAAGAACAGTGTCTTTCTAAATGTGTAACAACTTTCAGAATAGGGAGCAAAAAGAGGAAAAAAAAAAAAAGGAAACAAAGCAACTGTACCCTTGTCTTGTGTGTTGTCCTTGGTCCTTACCTTCTACGCAGGTCTTCGGCCACTGCTGCTCTGCAGCTGAACAAATAGGCCCGGAGAGATTTTAGCTGCTGCCTCAGGCGCACAACAGTTGCCARAGGTTCAACATGCTGGTACAGCATGGGATTTTCCTGTTGGATGTCAATCAGTGGTTCCTCGTACACATATTCCAGGAACTCTTTGGCTTGCTTTGACACCTGAAAAATAAAGCAAGCGCTTCAGCCAGGCTTTCCTCCCAATTCTTTTTAAGTGCCTCTTCTCCTCTGTGATCAGTTATGTTCTACTTCTGAAATGCTGCTGCTACCAGATATAGATAAAGACAAAGCTGAGAGAGACCCAGGCTCAGACCCAGTCAAACTTCTTGCAGTCTATTAAGCACAGTGATATTTTCAGGTACATATTTTCAGGTACATATTTTCACTGCAGAAGAGCATTGCATTCTAGTGTTTCCCAAGTCTAAACGCTGTGATCAGCAAGATTCTTCCCTGTTAATATTTTTATGTTTGTTTGTTGCTTTCTTTTGGGCAAGAAAGCAAAGATTGAGTAAGTGGGACGTTAGAAGAAAAAAAAWAATATTAGAAAAGGAAATACATACAAGTCAAGCTGTACTGTACCATCTCAGGGTGTAGAATTCCAGTGTACTGTAATTCTCCCTTTTTTTWATTCTTAACTATAAAGTTAAGAGGCACATCTATCAAGGTTTTTAAATTACAGCTAAACAAAATTTGTTTTTACTGGGGTTACTCATTCTCAGCATTTCATCTGCTGAGATGAAAATAAAATTTTCTTATGCCTTTCTCATGGCAGTGCTCTATCTTCACCGGCAAAGAGCTCCTATAATCCTGATAAATTAATGGGACTTTTATTCTCGCTGGAAGAGACACTCCTGTTTTTGAGGTGAGAAGGCCACAGTCGCTCTCCCTCCCTATTTCTGCATTTTATCACAGCTGGAAAAGGGAAGATGGGATTATCTGAAATGAACTGCAAGTCACTTGAAACCGCGCTACAGAAATACTGTGTGTTCCGCAATTCAATTAGTCCTCCTTTAAATCAGTGTTTACACTGAGGCCAGGGAGGGATGAATTAGGCTAATATGCTACCTTTCATGAAAGTAACAAAGGCAGCAAGGGCACCCCACAGTCTCCTCTGCTTTAGGAAGTTATTTCCCTTCTGGGGCTGTAAAATAGGAAGCAAGTAAAAGCAGGAGATGTCCTTAAAAACAGCAGCACTGCCAGTGACAGAGCCAGTCTGAGGCAGGGAAAGCTCGTCCTAACTGCAGCCTTTTCACGGTGCATAATAATCGTATAACAAATAACACTCAGGAGAGCCTTCCCACCAGCAGCTGCACAGCTAATACAGCAACCATAATGTCACTGACTTGTCAGGTCCAGAAGCCGTGTTAAACATATCACTTCTATAAACCATCCCACTCTTTCTCATATCTTGGTCTGGTTTCCTGACTTCTGTCCTCTAAAGGAGCTATCTGTGAGGAAGGGCATCACTGAGGACACATCCCCAAGTCCTGCAAGCCCTACCTAAGGCACAAATCCAGACCCCAAAGCACAATGTACTGTAGTGAAGCTCTGCTGACCTGTGCTCCTACAATCCTCCCATTTTTTCAAGGAGACTGGACCATCCCACTAAATTAAAGCTGGTAGGAATAGGAAGGTACAAAGCAGGGCAGCGTGTTAGCCTGCAATGTCACACAAGGATGGATGTTAATACTTCCAGGCCGTGCTTTTCTAGAGGCTGCAAACTTGCCCTTCAGAATTCAATTGACCAGAAGTTGGTCTCCCTTGAAGCCTTCTGGCCGGGAAGTCCATTTCCTCTATGTTCATCTGGCATTTCCAATAAGCCAGGAGCCACCACAACCAAACTGCAATATCGTTTTTTTGGGTTTTTTTTTTTTTTTCTCTCTCCAAAGTAAACAGGGAAACCAGTTGGCAAAAGCAAAAGGAAGAAGGGATGTTCCCAAGACTGCCTCTTTCTTTCCCTGCACACAAACTCATGAAAAACACAAATACAGAAACAAGGGAAAAGGATGGAAAATAAAAGACCCCTGTGAGCTGGGGACTGAACTGCTGGTTCAGTTACGACAGGAGAAACCTGCCTGGTGGCCAGGTTCTGTGAAGCAGTTTTAATTACAACCCAGGTGATTCTCCTTTTCTTACCCACATGCTTGCAGGTGTTCAGTGCATTGTTGCTTTCCAAGATCCTAGCGATGGGAGGACACAATTCTGCAGATTTTTACTGCTTCTGTTTCTTCACATGTTGCCTTGCCAGCAGCAGAGCAGAACCTCAGCCTTGGCAAGGCTTACTTAATAGTTGCAAGTTGACCTTAAGAATGCTGCTTAGTTGTGGGGAAATCCATGAAACATGACCAAAAAAAGTGTACAATCCCATTATATCACTCACATTATATTAAATCCCATGGCCCAGGGTATGTATCAGTGCTAGCTTTGCCTAAGAGAAACACGACAGATTCCAGAGACCTCTGCAGAGGGCAAGAAGTGCAGAGGAGTGGGAGGGAGTGAAGTATTTAAGTTACTTCATTCCCTTTCCCTCCTTGGTGGGCTGACAGGCACAGTGCAGACTGTGTGAAATACAGAAGCATTCAGAGATTGAAGCCCTGCTTTAGTTTTGCTGGTCAATAAATGTGGTTTGGGCCTGGAGCAGCTCCAGGGGTTACTGCAGCGTTGCCTGTGCGAGGCAGGGCTGCCTGCTTAGGAGGAGCTCTGCTCTTTGGCTTCATTCAACATATATGTTGCCAGATACTTTATGCTGCTTTCTTGCTCCTCAATAAAATATCTGTCTTTGCCAAATCAGAGCATCTAACCAATACGCTATTAAGGGATCGTGTGTCTTCGTTACCATTAGTTAGTGCTGCACCCAGCATTAAGTTGCCTTTTAGACAATTCTGGAGAAACAGGCATCAAACCTTATCTCTGAATGGAGAAAAGAAATATAGGTGTAAAAGTGCAGGCACTATGTGCTCTGCCTTGGAAAAGCAGTGTTGGATTCCTGTGGGAGAATAGCAGGAAGAGACACAAAAGCATGAATGTGCAGAGTTGATCAAAAAGGTAAAATCCGACAGATTTCCCCAAAGTAAAGAGTTTATCCTATATGTAGATCAGAGAAAGTTCAAGAGATCCAACCAACGGTCTCAGCTCAGCTGTGGCACGGCCACTTTGGCACACGAACCTGCAGGACCTCCATTCCCTCTCTAATAGGTGGGGATAACTTGGCGTTTTCCCACCTGGTGGGAAAAGCAGGTGGTTCCTTCCATTGTACTTTGCCACAATCAGACATGGATAGGAATTTGGTTGTGCTCCCAAACCACCTCACAACTGTTCTGCTTGTCTACAGAAAGTGCAAATTGATGATTTCTCACTGTAATAATTACAGTGATTTTCAACTGAAGCTTAGCTTAAAAGTCTCAGTCTTTGTGTGTCAGCTGCCTACACCTAGGCCACAGGAAGCTGAGCACAGAGCACAGCTTTTACATAAAAAATAAAAGAGTTTATTTTCTTAACAATATCACTGATACCTTGATATGAGGCCAATTTGCCTACTATGCACTTTCTCTACATCAGGATTAACCAACTGCCTTGGGCCAGCAAGTTTAGTCCTTGGAAAAAGCATCCAAAGAAATAACCCTTAAATATTTTTCAGGGTTTCTAGGAAAAGGAGGTTTTTAGTCTCTACATACAGCAGCTTTATACATTTTGAAGCATCCTGCATTTCATTTTCCTCATGGCAGGCTCTGCCTACCTTTTAATAATCTCTTCAGACAAATGTTCATCTTCCGGAGAGGAGCTTTTCCTCTAATAGGGAATGCACTGTTCACTTTCTCCTTTACAAATAGCCCATAATTATAATATATGCAGACACAAAACATCAAACATCCATTTTCCTGACAAGTTTGCTGTTATTTCAGCCTAAACTCTCTCTGATAGCAGAGCAACAGCTACCACGTTTGCTGGTGTAATTCCTCGGGCCAGATTACTGCAGTTTTAACCAGCAGATTACTGAAGTTTTGGAAAAGCCATTTGTGTAACAAGTGAACGGGTGTAGAATTTTCTCTTTATTTTTGTCTGTGTGGCCCAAACAAGTGTTGTCCTGCCATCTTGCTAGTCTTCTGGAAAGGTCTGTGCCAGGAGATGTGACCTAGTGTACTCTGCAAGTGTCATCTTTGCTGCAGATGACACCAGTTTTTAGCAGGTTTATCCTCACCTGCCCTAAAGGTCATCAGCAGACAACACATTTAATCCTCGACCTGTTGTGAGGTCTTTGTTTGGATGTAAGCAGCGATTGGGGTGACTTGCAAGCAAACCCAGCTGCAGCAGCTGACCTTGTGTTTGGAGGTGTCCCAGTTGTGGACGAGGCGCGCCGGGATGAGGAAGGTGTCGTCCACGTGGCAGGAGCTGCAGTAGTACCAGCCGCTGTAGCCGCACACCTTGGCTTTCCCGTGGGACAGGCCTATGGAGCGCTGACAGCCTGCGGAAGAGACGGGGCAGGAGATTAACTGAGCCCAACGTGCACAATTGGGAAATACAACGCTCAAATTAACTGTCCCCCCTGCTGACACTTCCCTTTTTTAAACAACCAACCAAGTATTTCGCATTCCCTGGAGATAAAGGAGCAAATACCAATGTTCTGTCACTAGCATGGAAAAAACATACATGGAATTTAGCAAGAAAAACTGTTCAGAAAGCAGAGAGGCCTTAGCAGTTCTCAAGAAATAAAGGCAAAAGACCAGAGCAACAAGATGTCTTAACATGAAACTGACTGAAAGTCACCTGAAAACTGAAGCTTAAATAGAAAACCCCAGGCCAGAGAAGCATCATGCCCTCGCTCCAGACAGCCAGGCCTTTTCCCCACATCCAGAGGGATCGGCAGGAATCCCTGCATGACCCTGTGCTTTACAAGGTCTGCCTGACACTTTTTTCCACATCAGGATCATTGTTTTTTTCCCCATCGCCTCCTGCTCAGGGTCCCTGGGTGAAAAATAAACGCAGGCCAAGGCTTCTCCTTGGGCTGGAAGGGACTGAAGCAGATCTCTCCCTCATCCAACTGCCTCCTCTCACCGAACGCGCAGGCACACCAGGTATCTCCCACCTCCGTCTTTCTCTCAACCGTGGTTAAAATGGACCACGAGGTTCCAGCAATATCAGAGCTGAAGACTGGGAGACACACGGCAACCTGCTTAGGGAACAAGGCTAAAAATGCTCAGGTGGCCACAGTGAGAGGCGTGTTATTAACACCCCTTTGGCAGGGCCCACACACTGGCATTTCTGCCTGGCCTTCAAGAGCCAGTGTCCCCACAGGACCCCCACAGCTACAGTCACCATTAGCACCCACTCCAATAAASAGCATTTTACAAGCCCAAGGATGCTTCTCTGAACCTATTTTTGTTCCTTAGCTCCTCAGAAACACATTTTCACACAGAGCATTTCCCATTCCTTTTCACATCCTCAAGTAGATCATATTCTGCACAGCTACATAACATTGTGAGGCTGAGATTTCTTTTAGATGAGAATGTGGCACCCACCTTACATTCTTCTTTACCTTACAGGTTTCGCTGCTTGAAAATCACCATCTTTTCCATTCCTATCTGTTGTGATTCATAATGATGGCTATTTCTACAATCCTTTCAAATCAAGTTATCAAAGCCCTGATTTTCTTTGATGTTATGCAGTTCAAAGTGATGCAGTGTGACAAACATATTCCTGTGGCATAGCCCACTTAGGCTACTTTGCTTTCTTAAGGYGGGGGAAAAAAAAAGAGCAAGAGAGAGAAAAGGAGAAGGAAGAGGAGGAAGGAATAGCTCATGGCTTAACACCTTGGAAATCCTGCAYTCAGATGTTCAGGAACATAAACATCACATTTGCCAGAGAGGAAGACATTACCGGTTCCTCGCTTTAAACCCTTGCATTGGTTTAGCACTGAGTTCTAAACATTGGGTTCTTCCCAATGAGAAGAGCCCAGTTCCAGCAAAGCACCTCGGCGAGATCCACAGTGCAGCTCCTGGGCTTGGAGAGCCATCCTTGCCYGAAGGGTGTTGGAGAGCAAGCTGTGAATAGATGCAGTGCTAGCAAGGCGAGGGAAGGAGCAATCCCAGCTCTTCCATCAAAGGAAAGGCACCTAAACAGCCTTGGAATCAAGCAAGGGAAAGAGAGGGATCCTGGGGAGGAGAACCCAGGACACRTGGATACAACTCTTCAACCCCAAAGGCAGACAATATTTTTTTAACCCAGATACTTCTTTTAACTTTTAGCAAGAAGAGATCGGAGGAGCTCCCCAGTGAAGCAGAGAAAATGGAAGACCAAACTAGAATTAAGTACCCAACTGTTTTCCTTATCCAATAAAGTTCCTCRCTCAGTATCAGGAAAAAGCAACTCTCTCATGATTGCGTACCATAATTAAATTTGTGACAGATTAGCTTGGAAGCTAATTCATTTAGCAGCAACATGAAAAACGGAGAGAAGATAATGACCCAGAGACTTCAAAAAGCTTTCAGCCTGATAAAGCCACAGAACAACCTAAGCAGAAGCACAGCAACGAAYGTGCAGCGTTCAATCAGACGGACATTTCCCTGGCTGCTCAGCACACAGAGAGCAGACGTGCGAAGCGCTTCGGTTTCAGGCAGGCTTTGCCACGTCCCCATTCACTCCACAACCTTTTTCCATGGATGAGCCCAAAGCCACGWGGCAGGCAGGCACACTTAGGAGGCATCTGAGGTCCCAGCGTGTCTCCTGCTGCCCGTTTTCTGTACAGCCTTTGTTCTGTGAGGTGTTTGCTCCCCTTATTCCCACCCTGGCTTGAGCTTCCTACGCTTTGTCCCTTTCCCTGCATTAGCCTTCTGCCAAAGAAATYCTCTTTCTCAAGAAATTATCTGAACTTTTAAACCTCCAAAGAAAGTCTGGCCCTTTACTCACCTTTGCCTATTTTTCTATGAGCTTCTTATCGACTTCTTTTTAAAAAAGGCTAACAGATCAAACACACACAACGTTCTCTGTTGAAGCCCTGTGGCTTTGACCCTATGCAGTTGCAATTATTTAAGCCATAGGCAAATCCCACTGTGATTATCCTCTAGATTGGCTTCCCCACAAGTCACAAAGGGTTCAGTGCTCCCCTATTCCCGCTTCAATCCCACCCAAAGGACGGGCCCAACGCTCCCGAGCCAGGGGAAACTTCCTGACTATTAGGAGGAGCTCAGGATTAAGCCCTGAATTAACTTCCATTATCGCCATTTAACAACTCGACCCAACACAGAGCCCTGTCTTTGCTCTCTCTCATGCGGATGTTAGGTCAGGATCTGCAGACCTACCTGGGCATATGCAACATTCTGCATGTTGGCATTAGACCTGTCCCCTATGCAGGGCCTGCCACGTGCACGCTGCAGGTTGCAAGGCTCTATTCTGCCCCCATAATAAAACTAACGGCAATGAAGCCTGCAACTTTAACCCTGAAAAGACATAAATGTCCAAACCTAGCCTTGCACTTTGTGCACATTAAGAACAGAACTCCATAAATAAACCAGGACTAGAAAATACTAGCTGTGTGTCAAAGGACTGCAATGAAGTTTCTTTTCTTTTCTATTTTTTTTTTTAAAGAAACTTCTGGGTTTTTATTTGCTTGGATCTTCCCAATGGAATTTCAGTAGACTACAGGTTTACTTTCAATGCTGAGAAGCACTGAGGTGCTGTTTTTCCCAGAGAACTTGCTCCGAGGGAATTAGAAGCAGTCATAAAAAGCCTTGCTTCACATGCAGTGAACCCTTTAGCACATCCCTCTGCTTCCTCCTGGTGCCTCCTTTCCTTGTCCCCCATTCCCGGGACGCTCCAAGCGGATCTCTCCTTCCCCATTCCTTTTCTCCCCCATGTGCCGCAGGATCGGGCTCCGCAGGCTCGGCTGCTTGGCACTGTGTGGCCAAAAGGGACAGGAGCTGCTGTGCTGGGCAGCAGTCAGGAATTGGGCAGCTCCTTGGCCAGGATGGGAGCTAGGAGTAAGCACAGGGGCTAATTAATTGTGGCACCCCCTATAGCTATTTACGTTCAGGCTTGGCTAGGTCTCCCGGGAATGGAGGCGGGAGACCGGAGCCGTGCCAGGTGGATGCAGGTCCTGGTGCTGCCCGGAGGCTGCTGCACTTGCAGGGCGCTTTCTGAAGGGGACACCGAGGGCAATGCACGCGGAGGGGAACCCCACGCAGGCTGCAAAGAGAAGGAGGGGAGAGGAATAATAATAATAATAATAATAATAATAATAATAATAATAATAATAATAATAATAATAATAATAATAATAATAATAATAATAGAGGGTCCCTGTCAGGTCCCGGCCCGGCGGAGGCGCTTTGTCACTCCATTAAGCAGGCAGCAGGGGGCTGCGGGAAGGGGGGCAGCGCCACAGACAACAGGCTGCCCTCTTGTATTGCTATTTAATCACTTTTCCTAAGTAAATAAAGCAGCCCTGAGGTGCTGTCATGTCAAGGGAATTTATAACAAAACAAAAAGCCCCTCAATTTTTCCCTTGGTCATTCCCTTTCCTTCCCTCCCAGCCCTGCAGGACTAGAGAGGGTTATTACTGTAGCCTTAAGTTCCATCTTTGTGTTGCTTGCCTTTGATTCCCACTCGGACCTTGCCACTTTCTGGCACTAATTTGTCAGGCCGAACAAAGGAGGGATTTGTACCTCCTGTAAGGTCTCAATTAGGAAAAGCTTCTGCTGTATTATGTGCCATTGGGACAGGACACAAAGACGGTAATTACAGGAATTTGCACTAAATGGCTGAAGAATTCACAGCAAAACTTTTCTTCCTCCCTCCTCCTCCCCGTTTCCCCCTTTTCCAAGCTTTCCCCTCCCAGGAGCCCTGGAGAAAAGGGCTCTCAATGCCTGCAAGATGTAATTACGAGCAGCAGGCCCCYTGGCTTAAACAGGAGCCCGTGCAGGAGAGCAGCACAAGCTCCYGCAGGGAGCAAGGCGCGAGGAAGGACCCGCTGTGCCTCCTCAGCAGCAGCTTTTCCCAGTYACAACTGGGATTTTCCCAGTTACAATGGGGATTATTCACTCACTTGTACTGCGGGAACAGCTAGAAGTTCCAGCTCAGGCTTGAGGACTTYGGAGGAGAGCGTTGGCAACGCTCACTCAAAACTCTCCTGCGTCTCAGGCAGAGGGTGGAACAAAATGACAAAAATCTTTCTCCACYGAACTTTGCATTGAAAAGCAACAAGGAGAAGGGAATACAGTTTGAATGGACATTACCTACAGCAAGGCTGTCCATCCTGCTGTCTGCTGGAGTTCCACAAAGCCAATGTGCTGGGTAACACACTGGGCTCAATCCATCCGGGGGACTTCCACCTGACCCGGTCCCAGTCTCGCTGCTGCTTTCATTCTCACAGCTACCAGTAGGGACAAGGCATCGCTTTGCCCCTCTTTTTTGCACATCAGATGTTTTTAAGGCACTCAGGTACCCGGTGGTGTTGAGGCCATCACAGCCCTGGGCTAGCTCAGCATTCACACCAACTGGGGTTCTGGATAAGAACGATCAGATGCAGCTGCTTAAGGCCACGTTTCAGCTCTGCCTCGAGAGAGGAGAGCAGCAGCTAAGGCGGTGCGTGAACCCGGGGCTCGGAGCGCACGCAGCCCCGCGGCAAGCACCGGCACGCGGCGGGGAGCCTCCCAGGAGGCTGCCAGCTGAGCCCGGCCTCCAAAAAGGACAGCAGACAGAAATTAAAGGAAAGAAACAGGCTCGAAACCAGAAAGCTGGAAGGCAAACCCCTGTGATTCCGAAGCAAGCACGGATCTGATACCTGTTTGCTACTCAAGCACTCCTGACCTCATACACCTCATAGGCTTTTCTCCCTATTTTAGAGAGCAAGACAGGCTGACACGCTGAGGCTCCCTGGCTGGAGATGGAGGAAGGGAGCAGCTCTGCGCTGCTGCAGTGCATGCGAGTGCTCCCAAGGGATTTTTCCAACGTTTTCCTGGGCCGATTCCGCAGTTCTGTTGCTTACCCGCACACTTGAAACTCTGAACTGTGAGCCCTCTCTCCAGCGACAACGTGGTCAGGATGCTCAGGAAGCTGGTGGTCACCGACTGGCGCTTGCTCTTCCTCAGGTCCTTTCCGAAAGGCCGATCTCCGGCTTTGTTCCTAAGCGTGACTTGCAGGTCCTGACCCAAACTCCKGGCAGCGCTGGCTGCCGCTCGCAGCGCCTCCATCCACTCCTGGGCTCTCTGGCGCGTCTCCGCACGCAGCCGGAGGACGTCCTGAGGAAAAATGACCTGAAAGCAGGAGTCACAGCCATCCTGGGCGTCCGTCTGGACCGACAGGCACACGTCGATGTTGTAGCTCAGCAGAGGGTCTTCGTCAAGCCTACCTGGTTGGAATGCCATGAGATAAGATCTATTCAAGACAAACGTAAATGCCTTCCAGTTATTCTGGACAGTCAACCTATAGAGAGTCCCCGATTTGAGAATATTTGGGTACTCTTTAGTATTTTCGGTCAAATTCATGGAGAGGAAAAGCTCCATGGGCTTCTCCAGCAATCCGTTGGTTTGTGGAAGGTCGCTGTTGTCGTCGGCCTTGGGCGCGTTCTCCAGCGTCTCCCGCTGCCTCCCGAAYGGCGGCCCGGCAGCGCGCACCGCTTCCCACAGCTTCTGCCCCCAGTCCAAAGCCTCCCAGGAGGAGCCGGCCTTGAGCTGCAGCCGCGAGCTGTCCGAGAGCAGCGCGTCCACCACCTTGGCTTCAGCGCTGCCCGTGAGCGCGACCCTCTGGAAGCGCGCGAGCGGGTACAGCGTGGGAAGCGTCGCGTTGCCGCTGCTGTCCAGGCGGTGCAGGCACAGGTCGCACGGGGAGAGCTCGGCGTAACAGCTCTGCCAGTAGCTGTCATCGTCCCTTCGGATTTCCAAGTATCCCTTCTTCAGGATGTTTGGAAACGTCGGCTGGTGTTCTGGAAGACACAACAGAAACATCACGGTTGGTTCTTTTGCAATGACTTGCTTCTCGCCGTTAGGTCATTTAAGTTCATACATCTCATGACACATTTGAGTATAATTTGAGTTTTCAGAATAAATATCACTGACAACCATCACCCATTAGGCTATCTGGATTCATAAAATGCATGCACCTTTGAGTATACGCTTGAATCAAGAGAAGTATAGCACTTTTGTATCCAGAAATGCCAGAACACTCTACAAAGAAACAGAAATACAGAGAAACAAACCCATTTTCCTGACATTATCCCAGAGGACAGAGCAGGTCTTCCGGACCCGACATCAGAAGAGTCTGGTATTACCAAGTAAAACAAGAATGGCAGCTCCAAAATGCTAAATCCTGCACAAAAGCAACCAGTTTAGCTCTGTGCTGGTGTCTCAATGTCTCTCTCACAGTGCCTCTAGCAACATCTTTGATAGCATTTTACACCTTTTTATACTCACATACCAGACTCACCAGGAGACAGGGAGTGCAGAACTGTATCCAATGACAGGAGCTTCTCACGGCATTTCGGCAAGACCCAAGACCAGAACATTCTGCCCAGCTCCATTTACCAGAARGGAGTTTTGATTATTTATAAGAACCAAGCTTAGGATGAGCAGACACGACYGATTTATTTATTTATTTTGAAAAGGAGGCTGCCCAGTCTCAGACACACGTTAAATTCCCCAGCATTTCAAATGCTTTGGATCAGGCCCTTTCAAAAACCCTGGCCCAGGGTGAAGTCAAGGGGAATTTTCTTAGTTCTGAGAAAATCAGCCCAGGCACAAGTTCCTCTGGGCATCAGAACCATAAGAATTTAAACTGAGCTATTAAAAGAATTTCTGAATTTTAAAAGGGTTTCTGTGCTGAACTTGTTTCCAATCCAACCTGCATCACTCCAGCCTCTGTTWACACACGTGAACGCTGTATTTTCACCTGAGGCTGCGCGTGTGGCTTTATATATAATATAACTTCAGAGGAAGTCACTGTTACGCTCTAATGACAAATTTAATACTCAACATCCCAAAGTAATCCAGCACTGAAACAATTCTCGCTCCTTTCTGGCTTCTGCTTCACCTTCCTTGCAAGGGAATCTGCAATAGGCTTTGAATTAACAACATAGGTTTTGGGTTAACAGAATTAACAGAGAAATTCCAGCTTCCAATCGCCCCTGGAGGCTTCTGTTCCCAAAGCAGGAACATGGGAACCACTTGGGAAGGGCTCTTGAAACTCTGCCTGGCACAACCGGGCCAAACCACGACCGGCATCAACTGACCTGAGGGCACTGCAGCAAATCCAGAGCTGCTTCAGCCCGTGGTTTCTACCCTCAGGCTGACAACGTTTGAAAGAGGGATGGGGTAGACGGCGGCACAAAAGATTTTCCTGGCTGCAAAGCACATGGTGGATTGACAGAGTTGTCTATTGGGCAAGGAGACCACTAAGAACAGAAAGTCCTGGCTAGCTCCTCATACCAACTTTAAGTATTTACAAGGATTAAGTAAAGTCCCAGTCAAAAACACACATGAGCATTAATGTAGAGTGTGGCTACACTTAACGTGAACATGCAGACCTGGGGCAGGCAGTGAAAAACGGGACAAGGATGCTGCTTCCCACCCACGTTTGCAGCAAAAACGACACCTTTAGGTGTCTAGGTCTCCAGGGCAGGGGTTTTGCTGGGCCAGCCCATGCTCAGCTTCCTCACTTAGCCCACACATACCCAGGATGGAGATTGTATTTAACACCATGTTGAAAATGCTCTGCACTTTACCTATGAAGATTTCCTGCAGAGATCATAAAAAGCATGATAATAATTAAAAAAAAACTCACTACTTTGACACTAGGTCTGAAAAGGTTCAAAAGAAGTCGATATAACTATACTTTGCAGACAAATAAGCTACTCAAGTGCATTTTGGCTAAACGTGAAAACTGAAAGCCCACTCYAAGACTTAGAATGGCTGAGAAAAAGCCTGCTTTGCTACCTCAAATGGACAGATACACACAGAGGCGCGCGCACGCTAAAAGGGAACCAATTTTGCTCCCCATACATCTCTGGCCTGACATTCATTAGTATTTCTGTGCTAACTCAAAAGCCATTAATTTCTSTGAAACCCACACTAATCCCTTTGTAGTGCAGATAATGGACAGCCATTCTAGAGTCATCTTCCTTTGCTATTAATCCAATCAGGGAGGCAGCGCTGCTGCGGCTCCCTCGCTTCCATCAGGTACAGATGACAGTTCAAGTTGCTCCATGCTAAGACCACCTCGTGGCCCTCCCCAGGCCCCCCGTTTTGCCAGCACGCAAAAGCGGGGGGCTTTTGATTCCTTTTGTTGGGTTAGGGCAGAACCAGCCCCTCTCCCTGCTTCCCTCGAGCTCTTGAGAATCGTCTCCAYCAGGTCCTGCTGCACACAGGACAAAACCAGCAGCCAACTTGGTTAATATTCCAATATCCCGTTTTCTTTAGGAGAGGCTGGCAGAGAGGGGTCACATCCATATGCACCCGTGCACTAAACACACACACCTTGCAGCCCTCTGCTTCTTTATCTCCTTGATGTGCCCTGTGCCAGATAATACCTTTCCACTCGGATACTAAGTGCTCCCTTTCCCTCCGTCCACCTTCCGAAGAGAAGCAGCATCTTTTTTTTTCCTTCCTGCAGAGACGGGCAGAGTAAATTGAAGAAGAGTAAATAAAAAGAAGGGAAATAATGAGAGTAAATGGCCCACGTCTGAGCCATTTGGAGTTATAATTTCAAGCGAGGAGGGGGAAGGAGGCAGAGGGAACAAAGGGAGATGCAGCAGCTGAGGATGGGCCGTGTGTTCCCTCCACTTCCAGCCTCTTTCTTGGGAGCTCCTGCCTCATCCCAAGCTGGGTGGATTTACCTGGAGTTATGGGCACATGGGAAGCCTCACGTGCAGCCCCGCTCAYGGCAGCCTGCGGAAGCACGAGGACAAGGCAGAGGATCCCAGGCTGCTCGTCTGCAGTCGGCCTCACAGAAGAGGCTGCCAAGGCCCATGCAAGGAAACAGTCTCCACACACACCCCCACTTTCAACTCAGGTTTAAGACCTGGCCTTCAGCTCACCGGGGCCGGGTCAGGGACGAACCGCTGCTCGGCCAGTGCGACCGGCATCCGCGGGACCCGTTTCCTTCCTCCCGAAAAGCAGCCTTTTGTTCCCCCCATCTTCCTGCCTGGCTCTGCAGCTGCACCTTTTTCAGGCAGGTTCATTGGATGTCCCTCCTTGCCCCAAGCATTGGGATTGATATTTAGCAACAAATTCCCAGCAGTTGGCTCTCCCGTAGCCAAGTCTGGCTTATTCTCCCTGTGCCACCTCTTCCCAAGGGACCCTTACAGTAACAAAACCTTTTAACTAGGTAGCACTTTGCATGTACTTACAACAACTACTCTATTTTCATTTTTAACAAAACCTTTTAACTAGGTAGTGCTTTGCATTCACTTACATCAACTACTCTATTTTCATTCCCTTTAAGCTCAGCAGAGGCAAAACCTGATTTGAAATGTCAAATTTGGCAACATCTTAATTTTAGCTTTGTCCATGGTTGGCAACACTGGGTTAGCTTTTTCTTTTCCTCCTCACTTCATATAATAGTTAGCCATGGTAAATGMAAATATCTACAGAACAACTGCACTTCTCTCCTAGAAGCACTGGACTTATGTTCTCACGTGCTCCATCCGCAAGTGGGAAGAACAAAAATCTGCAAAAAGCAGGAGGGACTTGAATGTGCTTGTAAAAGCCATGRTGGTTCAGCTGATTTTGGTATAAACTCACTTATTCAAAGAGAAGGAAGGAAGCCACAGAAACAGGGCCAGCTCACGCGAGGACATCAGCGAGGGGAAAGTCCTGCACAGYGCAGGAGACCTGCAGGCCTCACGACTGGTTTGCTGTAGCTCTTGGTGTCAACGACCCCGGCTGCACAGCTCTCACCTGCTCCTTTTACAAGCAATAAATCCAGTCAAAGTACAAACCCCTTTGAATTCCCCTCACCAGCTCACAGGCAGGGTCCCCCCAGCCTCATCCTTTCTGCAGARCACAACACTTGTGACAGCAGCTGGACGAGGTGGAATCCTGGCTTCCYTATGGCACACAGGGCTATGCAGCAGATAGAGGATCCCTGAAGTCCATAGGATCCCTGGGATAGGGGAAGCAGCCCCAAACAGGGATTCCTCAGACCTCGAGGACCTCTGCTCCCAGCGTCGCAGCGCTGCCAACGACCCTACCTGGATGCTGCCCACAGGAACAGGCTGGCTGAGCACAAGCATCGCTGCTGCTGGAAGGACACGGTGTTGCTGGAGGTTCCCCGGGGCTCGCGGGCTCCGCAGGCAAAGGAGGAGCCCCGGGAAAGGGCTGTAGCACCCACACGCACAGGGAGCGCCGGGTTACAGGGAAAGCATCCGCATGGCTGTCCAAGGTAACTGCTCCCATGTTGTGCTTTAATGATCCGGACAGGCTCGCGCTGGCTACGGCAGGAACAGCTCTCTGCCTGCAGCCCTACGGCCAGACACACAAATTCTGCCTCCAGTTTCCATGCAGCTTCCTCCTTTGCCAGCTCCACGTGGGGCTTGCTCCCTAGCACCCAGTGCGCCTCTCGAGGGCACGAGCTGGGGCACTGCCACCAAGGGCAAACCTTCTGCCCAAATCATTCCTCTCATGGTGCATGGAAAGGATCCAGCTCCGCTGTATTTGTCTTATGAAAAGGTGAGTTACAGGAACAGGCAATCTCAGTAATAAACACGCTGTGAAGATGAGGAAGAAACGTATCTGTGAAAAGCCAGTGCTYGCAGCAAGCTCGGGGCTCTAAGGGACCTCTGCAGGCTGCGGAGGGAAGTTCTTCCCCGGGGCAARGAGCGCAGAGGGGCCCGAGCTGCTCTCAGCCTCTCACAGCCACTTGTTTAATGGCCATTAGAGCCTTGCRATCCATCCCCCAGCGGGCCCAGGCCACCAGGAGCCCTTGGGCCACCGCGGCCGCCACCAAATCATGGCTCGAAGTGACCCTCGYCGGCCAAGCGCGTGAGCAAGCCTGGAAATACAGAATGACTCACAGCAGCAGCTTAGTTCTTCGCTCCGGATATTTCTTACTATAAATAATTACCCCCGCTTCCCCCACCCCGTTCTGTTTTCCTGAGGGCAGGATATGGAAACTGGGTCAAAAAGCCTAAGCCTCAGACACAGCCAGGGCACCCGTGCTGGCCTGCGTGGCACGACATTTACCAGCTCCTCTGCGGGCACAGGGACATGCCCCGTCCTGGGTTTTTAACCATCAGCCACCCACAGAGCCACAGAACGATCACAGAATGGTTGAGATTGGAAAAGGTCTCTAGAGATCATCTAGTCCAGCCGCTGCTCCAGCAGGGACACCCAGAGCACGGGGCACCCGGTCACATCCAGGAGGGTTGGGAAGACCTCCAGAGCAGGAGCCTCCGCAGCCTCCCTGGGCAGTCTGGGCCAGGGCTCGGGCACCCTCACAGTGAAGAAGTTCTTCCTGTCTTCCTAACTGCTAGCCCAGGTTTTTATAACCAGYGCCCTCTGACCACACGTATCATCTTCCCCAACCCTCTGGCCTTTTCTGGAACTCCTTCATGAAGCCATGCCATTATTTAGATCATAAAATCATTGTGGCACAAGCTGTTCTTCTTTCCCTCAAGCGCATGGTTCCCTTCTGGCATCTACCACATAAATCACAGAGAGGGAGACACCAGCTCAGCTTTTCCAAAGCCATGAGCAGAGCCTCTTGGAGTGAGGTCGCCTGGGAAAGGAAAAGGAAGAAGCCTCCTTTGCTGAAACCAGTACCCCACGTGTCCCGCTGGAGATGCCTGCGTCAATCTGATAACAGGACTTCCTCTATCCCGTACAAAGCTGGCAGAGATGCACTAGTATTGACAGGCACACATGGGATGCTCGCATTTTTGCTCATTGTTTATGAATTGAATAGTCAACATTTCTTAAAGAAATAGAGCAGAGCTTGCAGGAAAGCTTTGTATACTCCCTACTTAATAGCTCTCTTCAATTTTATATATTTATATATTTATATATTTATATATATATATAAAATAAAAACTGCCTTTGTTAGGATTTGCCATTCTTCAAATAGCTTTACCATTCAAAGACGTTTCAGCTTACGATAAGCAGGTAAGGAAATGATCAGAAATACACCACAAGCACCAATGCTTTTTACCCGAGTCAATCTGGAGAAAGCAGGAGCAAAACGTAAAGCAACTAAAGTTTCTCAGACCGTGCAAGAACGGGAGTTGGGATCATTTTAAAAACAGGTCCCTAGATACACAAATGGGAAGCAAGCTACAGTGGAGATGAGCGAGTTGTGCTGGTGGCCACCATGCGAGGAGCCTGGGCTCCTCTCCCTCGCACGAGCATCCCCTGCTCCGGGGTGCCGTTGCCGAGCAGAGGCCGCGGAGCAGCCCCATGCGCACCTGTGTTTCCCTGGAGGTCCTCGCGCGTGGCCAGCGCCAGGTAGGAGAGCAGGGCGCAGGCGGCGTGCGGGGCGGGCGGCTGCCGCGCGGCCCAGTCCACGCGGCTCGCGTCCGAGCGGGAGCGCCCGTGGGCCGGCTTGAAGGCGGCCGCCGCCTCGCTCGGCGCCAGCAGGTCGTTCACGGAGCGGGGCCGCTCCCGCCGCCGCTGGCACAGGGAGAAGATGTCGAGCGCCGGGGCGCTCACGTCGGCGGCCCTGCCCCGCCGCGCCGCCAGCTGCTCCCGGGCGGGGAACGGGGCCGGCGCTTTGCTCTCCACGAGCCCGTTCTTGCAGCCATCCCAGAGGAGGCCGCTTTTGGCCAAGGAGGCGACGTTCCTCAGGTTCCTGCTCTCGGTTAGCTGATCGAATACCTCGCGTCCGACCAGCTCAGGGACCTGCTGCACCCCAAACACCTCCGAAGGCTGCACAATCTTATCAAGCTTCGCATCAAAACTATTGAAAAAGTCCTCGGTGACTTCCAGGGCAGGGCTAATATCATCAACCTCGAGAGCCTCCATGTTGGACGCTGCCAGCGGCACCRAGCAGACCCTGCATGAACATCCAGGCCGAGAGCCGCTTCACATGTGCCCTGGCCGCTCCGTTGGCTTGGAGATGGGACAAATGCACTCGCCAGTCCAAATCTTTCGTGGTAGAAAAGGAACCAAAGCAACTCTTGTCTTCAGACACAACGTGGACTGATGCAGTCAGTTAGAGTTGAGCACGACTCCAATCCCCGGGGATTAAACTCACAGTGACAGAGAGGGCCTGTAAAGCAGAGCAAAACATCAGTTTAACGGGAGCCTCTTCCCACAGAAGGCTGTTTAATCATATAACTCTTCCCATAGTCCTAGCCCCCTTTCTCCCTCATTGTGCAACAGCATCAGGATATCAAGTAACTGCTTTTGGTCTGTGTTGTTCAACGTGCAGGTTGTCACTTGGGTGGGAGGTTGCAGAGAGGAGCTTGGGGCACTGAATGAAGTGAAACCACAGGGACAACATTGATTAACCAACATAAGCTTTGGAGAGCTGCACTCAACATGGGATTGATCAACACTGCAAATGCAGCTGCCTAGGGAACATGTCACACATGTTCCCAAGAGGTGGTTAAGAAAAAATAAAAATAAGGGGCAGCAATACAAGCCAGCCAGCCTTGAAGGGTTTAGGAGTACTTTTTCTCGTGGATTGTTTGCATTCCCATKCTCAGGGGACTGACGTGGGCCTTGGCAGCAGCTCCTTTCCTACCTGTCCGAGTACKCAGGGCTGCAATATTTGCCACACGGGCTGCTGCAGAGCACTCACGTGGACCTTCTCTTGGCAGCATCGCTGGGCACCTATGCAAGGTGCTGCAACAACCAAAGTCCTAGACACATCCCACAAGCAAAACAAAATATACCACCCTCAGAACCGTCAGAAAACTGCACATCTTTACTTCCAAGCAGCTGACCCACTGTGGGAAGCAGAGAGGAAAAGAAAGGCTTCCAGGCTGGGACCAGGGCTGCAGGTCTCTCCAAGGATCTCATCACCGGCTGCTCTCTGACCAGGCCTGATGCCCTCTCCTCCTCCCTCCGACCTGAAGCTTCACCCACGGCTCTGCCTTCTGAGGTGCAGAATTGGCATCAGAAAGATAAAACACGTGCAAATTCTTGAGCCCTGGGGACTGGTCCTTTGCTAGCTGGTCTTACTGCTGCTCGAAGGAATCACGGTGCCTACAGTCCAGACATGGAGCACAAGCCAAAGGWGTGAAGATCCATGTCCCACTCCTGACCACATTAGCCCTGGTCCCCAGAACAGGGAGGCTGCATTAGCTCAGCCCTCTGCCTAGATTAATATGCTTTTCATGGAACTAATTAGCCTGGGCAGGGCTGGTAATTAGCAGCTCATTAGCTTGTGAGTGCTGCTAAAGTGCTATCAGACCCATATAGATTTATGCTTAGCAGGAAAAAACATCAATTAAGCAGCATGAAACACAAAATATTTGTATACAAGGTTCCTGAAGGCACAATAGTCCCTTTGCCTTGCTCAGGAGGGAAATGCACCGCCTAAGCAGTTTGAAGAGGCACTTTTCTGCTCTCGTGAGCCAAAGGAGACCAATGCCACCACCACCCCACGAAGGGGACACAGGGCATGAATGACCCCTCCACCACCAGCAGGATTCATATCACCTAAAAYGCAGCATCTCTGGAGGAAGGGCAGCAGCTGGGGCTACCGTGTCATGCTCTGCCTCAGGTCTCACCTTGTAAAGCCCTGACACGATGGTTTGCCATGGAACAACTGCAAGCAATGTGTTTTCAGGCCCTGGACCATGAGCCAAGGCCTCTCCCGGGCTCTGCTGGGGCTTGCACGCAGGCAGAACACAGCAAGGAGCGAGCGAAGACGGGCCAAGGCCCACGACGTGACGCAGCACATACACTTACCCATCTCGAAGGCAAGGAGAGCATTTAAAAGTTGCAAAATTGCTACACACATTCACTCAAATAAATAGTGCCCTTACTCATACGGCCAAGAGCAGGGAAGAGAGGCTGCTCCGGACAGAGGTGCCGCCGCGGAGAGGCTGCAGGAGCAGCCCTGCTCCCTGAACCCCCAGAGCAGTAGCCGGTCCAGAAGGGCTCCCGACACACCACAGAAACAGACACATTTCAGGGGAAGAGTTTCAGTGGTGGAAGACATAATGTTGCTGTGCTTTACTCAAAATCATTCGGAAAGGTAGGAGGGAAGGGGGGGGAAAATCCTCACTCACGTTTAGCAGGTTCATTTTTGAGTGCTCCYGGTGCCTGCAGGTTTCCTGGATGCTGTGACACCGGCTCTAACCAGCAGTTACGCAGACAACTGTGGCCTTTCAGAAGCACAAGATGACTTCACGTCCAGCAAGGTGCTGAATCACGAGGTCACGGGGAGATGACAGGCCCCTGCGTCACATGGCTCACAAATTGCAGCTCCTCTGCTGGCCCTGCTCAACAAATGTGTGCAGGATGACCCCAGCAGGGCCGCTTGTCCCCTCCTTGCAGAGGAATTGCTAGGGCAGTTGTGCAGTACATCCTCTCTAGCRCTGGGATTCTGCCACCACGTGTTCTCCAGGAACACAATTTTCTTACATTTCTACGTGCCATTTTCTTACATTCTCTTTCAACAACTGCACAAGGGCCTTGACTTTTGATTGGGAGCCAAATGAAAGCAAACTTTGATAGGCCAGTAAATGGCTCCAGCGGTCTCATCCGGGAAGAAAAGCAATGGTAATCACTCCCTACAGGAGAAGGAGCAGGGAAAAAGACAAAAAATAGGACAGGATGAACTACAAAACATACTGCTTTTGGTTCCTGGAAACATAGGAAATTTTCCAGAGAAATGTAGCTCATGCAGGGCCCTGGGAAATAACCTCGTTGACAAAAAGGGAAGGAACACAGTGCCCTGTACTTTGTRAAGTTTTGCACAGAGCTGGCAGCAGCTAAAGAGTGCATGTTTCAGTGTGTGAACCTGGCCCAGGTGCACACATGCACGAGCACGTCGGTGCCAGGTAACTAAATGTGCCCTTGCAACGTGAGTAATGTTTTTATCGACGTGAGCACATAATGGTCACGTTACTCACACGGCTGAGGTAAAGAGCCAGGATTGCTGGTCACGCCGCAAGAGAGACAGACGTTTCACCTCGTCAAGACGAGGCAGCGCTCAGAGGAGCTGCAGGGATGGCAATCTGACAGCAGAGAAAACTCCGGGATGACACATTCAGATGAGCATACCCTGCAAGGAACCATTTAACAGAGGCCTTTAATTCTGGTGTGCTGCAGGCCTGGGCAAGCCTTGCCTAAGCAGCAGGGGATCCRAGGAAAGATGGATGTGCAGCCCCCTCGAACACCAACGACTGGGGCTGCTGTGCGTAATACCTGCTGGGCTTTTCTGTCAGGCTCTGAGCAACTGCTACTCACAGCCTCAATGTCTGCAAGGTCTGCACTTGGAAAATCAGTGCAGAGCTTCCTTAGCAGCGCAGGGGCTTTGCTGCTGCAAACATTTCTGGCTGGCTCTGTGGCTCACACCAGGCACGGGGTGCCCAGAGCGTGAATGAGAGGCGTTCAGGTGAGTGACAGTGCCTGGGAGCCTGGCTCTGCCACACTGAACCCCTGGGAAACCATGAAGTGGGGGCACATTGGAACAGACAGCGAAGGGGACAAGGATGCGCAGCGGGCACCAAGTCTCTCCTGCTGTCTGCACTTCTGCACATTGTGGCACAGGCTGCTTGCAAAAAGTGGTGAAAACAGCAGCAAATTGCAAGCTGTTGTGCTGTGCCATCTTTACAGCATCCCCCCAACGTAGCGGGGCAGGGTTTTATCTGCTCACTTGCAGAGGTGAGGTTTTATCTGCTTGTCAGCCTTTTCCTGACCCCGAGCTCCCTCAAAGCTCCCTCCTAGCCATAGGAGGCATGGTGCTGTAGGGGCTATGGGTTGAAGACTCAGCCTACAAGGTTCCCAAACAGACTCTTCTGCTGCATGCCATCCATCTGTAACCAAAGAGCAGTGCAAAATGCTGCTACTCTCAGGGATTAGGAACCCCACACATGCACTGCTAGCTCTCTAGCTGCTTAAAATTTCCTAAAGTTCTTACTTTAAAAATGTGCCAGAACAAGTACTTTCTGACCAGTACTACTGCACACAGCCATGGAAAATACTCAGGAAAAGATCACAAGGGCTGGAGAAGGGGCTCTCCAGTAACCACTGCTTGACTGCAGTGCCAAGCACTGCAAGACCACTGTGAATACAAGTGAAGACATCTGTCTGCTACAAAACCCACCTGTTTGCTACCATCTCCCTGCATGATGAAAAGGAACCACTACAATCTATCAGTAAGGAAGAGCTCCTAAATTCTCTCTGCTAGAGAGAGAGAGAGATAAAGAGCAGGAACAGCTGCAATGAATTTAGTGCTTAATCTCAGCGAAGCTAAGAGACAGCAGAGACCTCTTCCACACTATAAAAATAAAAATAAAGAAAAAAAGTAGACAGAATTAACAAGCAAGGAGGTGAAACTGAGGAGGCCAGGCGGTGGAGCAGGGGAAGCAGACACTTAGCAAGACCACAGGAGYGAACACACATCTACCCCTGGCACTGGCCTGGCCCAATGCACATAACAAGGAGCCTCCCCAGGCATCCTCTATATGTGGCACGTCCCAGCTACGGCCACCCTGTCCAGTGATGAACACGAGTATTGCTTGCAGAGCACAGGCTTTTCATCGTAAGTGCGCTCTGGAAGCCATAATCGAAATGCAACCACCTCCAGGGCACTGAGGAGCACACGGCACCCAAACAACGTGGTGGACGCAGAGGATGAGGAGGGCAGCGGATCACAGAGGGTTTCCTTTCCAGGGCAGACTGCTGTAGAGCCTCCCAAGCTCTGCAGCACCGATACCCTGCGTGGCAGCCGCGTGAGCCCCGTCCCTCGTGCCTGGAGAGCACCACAGACACGGGGCTGCGTGGTTGGTTCACGTGCTGGGGCTGACTAACCAGCAGAGCTCAGCGCCTGGGGCAGCACGAGGCCCTTCCCAAGGAAACGACTAAGGCGCAGAGCAGAAGGGCAGAAGAGCGAGCTCCCYGTGGCACCCAGGCTGGGTTGCAGGCCAGCCAAGCACCGCCGCACGTGGCTACCTCAGCTCCTGACCCCCCAGGACAAACCCAGCAAAACCAGGCAGTGCTTCGGCCTCGGGCACAGGCACGTGGCCTTCAGCACMCATGAAGTCCCACCCAACAACACATGGGAGGATGAGTGATTTCTACTTT